TTGCGAAGTATTTATAAATTTAATTTGAATCTCAGGTCGCACTCGCATATAATGGACAGCTTATAGGAACCGGTTCTCTAATCTCCGGTAATGTTGTCTTAACTTCAGCTCAAAGACTGAAACAACTGTACGATTCAAGCGATAGTCAGCCCGATATCAAAGTACTTATTGGCGCACACGATGTCACCAAATCTGAGTCTTCAAAGCGTGTCTTTAGAGTGAATCAAATTATATTTCATCCAAAGTTCGGTTACAATACCCCTCAGGACAACGACTTCGCGCTATTAGAGCTCAAACCGGCCGCAGATGGCTCTTACCCGACACAAAGACCCATATGTCTGCCCAGAACTGACACCCCGTACAGCGTTGGCACTGCCTTAACGGGCGCCGGTTGGGGCCGTACGTCCACCTATAGCTCCGGCAGTACTGTCTTGAGAAAAGTGACATTACATCTGTCGAAAAGATCCGAATGCAGTCAAACCTATCGCTATTCAGTGACCGATTCAATGGTTTGCGCCACCGATGAAAACAAAGACATGTGTTTGGGAGACACCGGAGCGCCACTCATGGCGTACTTCGAGGGCCGCATGTATTTGTATGGCGTGTATTCGTGGCAGTCATCGGAGGGCTGCGCCACCGGTAAGCCCAGTGTCTTCGGCGATGTCAGGTATACTCTCGAGTGGATCCGAGACGTGACTAACAACGCTATCAGAACCGCATAACCTATTCTTTAATCTCTTCCCTCAATAAAAACTTTTAATTCAATAAACAATTAAATCATTCAATGGATTGCGTGTATAATAAAAGTCAATAAATTTAATTCAATTTATTATTAAATATTTGTGAATCTCTTTATAAAACTTAATGTCCAGAAGAATGGGGTGTTTGAAACTTTTATATACCCCACGCCTCCCATTATAAGGCATGTATCAAATGGTTTATAAATATATTTAATAATTTAATTAATAACTTTATGTAAAACTTTTTGTTCAATGAATAAAATAAAAGTTAATTTATAGCAAAAGTGGACGTAATTTGTGTGCATTTGTGTGAAAACGCGTGCTTTCGATGTGTTTATGAGTTTTGAATGAGTTTTGAACATATTTTGATTGCCATTCATGTGATCATCACTTAATTGATCCCAAAATGCGAGTCAAACTCAGGAGACAGTCAAAGGGTGTCATCAAAAACAGGCCCAAAGCAGCCGTCGAAGAGAGTATTGACGACAATAAAGTGGATTCCGATGAAGAAGTTGTTGAAAACGATGTCCACACGGATGTCCTCTCACAAGACAATCCCGAAGACCATCACCTGAATGGCCAAATCGATGGCCACACTAACGGATCCGCTGATAAGACAGGCGTCAAAAGTGGTAAACCGTTGAATGAGATTTCGGAGACCAGTCTTATGAAGAATATCATCGAAAACGACACATACTTTTCATCGCTCATTGATTTGATTCCGCCGAAGATCTACTTCGAGGGCAACGACGAGATAATGGAGTCAATGCAGAACCAGAAGAAGCAACGGATGGCAGGCAAAGCGAATCTGAGCGCAAAAGTCAAACAAAAACACTTCAAATTGGATCCCAATAGTGATCATAAAGTGTCTGAAATCGCGAACCACTTCTACGGCAAAACGGCCGCAAAGAAGAGTGATTTGAATGGAAAGCAAAACAACAACAACTCGATGGACAATAAGATGCAAGAATTGAGACACAAACTGAACGATCGGATCATTGAATTGAAGTCAAGCAGAGGTGAGAAGAAAAACGCCAAACAATTGAGAGAATCGAAGAAAGAGAGGAAACGGGAGAACGCCTTCCGGGCGACCAAACAGAAGGGATTCGCCAAAAGACAGATCATTAATGAGACCAACGATGACAACAACGACAATGGATTGCAATCCAAGTCTAAAAAACGCAAATTAAATGACGAGAAGAGCGGACAGAAGTCGACGGAAGACAACACGAAAAAGTCGGTGAAAGGGACCGAAAATATGCCCAAAATCTACAACAAAGAGGGAAACATTGTTTACTCTAAGTTTGATTTCATTTCGGCCAACGATTCGACGGATAATAAAAAGTTTCAAAAGAAAAATAAGTTAAAGAAACTGTTAGTGAAGACGAAGAAAGACGAGCAGAAGATGTCTGTATTGGAGTCGACGGACGCCTCCAAAGCCAAAGTGGTTAAGGAGAAGAAGCTGTGGAGGAATGCCATCGAGAAGAGTGAGGGACTCAAAGTGAAGGACAGCTCGAAACTGATCGACAAATCGCTGAAACGACGCGAAAAGGCGAAGAAGAAGAGCGCAAAACAGTGGACAGAGAGGAAGGAAGCGGTGGACAAACGAATGCAAGCGAAGAGCGATAAACGCAAGAGAAATATCGAGCAGAGGAAGAAGGATAAGAAGGACAGGAATAGGGCTAAGAATAAGAAAAAGGGACGCATTTTTTGATACATTAAATCAACACAAAGTAGGAGTTTATCATAAAAATAATGAATGTATTGTAAATTATGAATACTTTTAATTAATATTTACATTAAAACAAAACTATTATATTTTGCGGACGTTTTGTGACAAACAAATAAATGTTTAATTTGTTTATAAAAAGCGATTATTAAATAATGAATTAATAATTTAATTATGGATTTTGTCTCTACTCGTGAGTGAATGTCTGAAATGTGTGCGAAGTGTTGGTACGGAAAGTCATATATTCTTCATCTGAATGAAGGCAAAGACGGCGACGAAGAGGAAGAAAGCGGTTCCGATACCAATGGGTATTCCGAGCGCTAATGCCATGGATTCGCGGGGAAAGAAGTCCCTAATTATGTGCCTCTCGTTAACCATTGGGATAACAATTATCCAAAGCGTGTAATAAATCAATGATAAGGAGCTTAACGTCAATAAAATGACTCCCAATTGTCTGTCGTATCCCTAAAACACAAAACACAAAATGAGTTATAAATTCAATACTAATTAGCATTTAATGCAAACATAACTCACAATAAAATTGATGAGCATTTCATATGAAGCGATGATTTTTGTGACCCGAGAAAAGTGTAGCAATTTTTTTCATACAAGATATTAATGATTGAGTGAACAAAACACGTGATATATTGGCACCAATTTTGACGCCTATTTTCTCGTGTGATTTGAAAACATTTGTTATAACAATAATTTGTAATAATTATCCTTCAATTCAATTGTGAAACACCTTTCAAATGGATTTTCATTGAAAAATGTGTTTATGTTTTGATTGCATAACTCGTTGTGATTGCGCTCTCTATTGGATTCAATGGTAAGGTTTATGTAATAAAACTTTTTTACTTTCGCTGTACTTTTCTCTCATTTCCTTTACTTATGAATTCACACTATTTATTAATAAACTTCTCAAACATTGAATACTATGTCTGAATAGTATTTAATATAATATCTTATATAATAGTAAAGAAGAAGAACTGATGTTAGCGTTTGTGTAGTGAGAGAGCGGGCGTTGGGCCTAAAAATAGCCACTTTTGGCCCAAACTATTGAACGTAACGCAGCCTTCACTCCACTTCTCACTCTTGGCGTTCAGTCTTGTCTATAGAGTACAAGAGTATCGCATAAATGCATTGATAGAAAAATACTTATAATTGGTTCAAAGGACGCGATCTTACAATCCATGGGAACTCTTGCGGCTTTGTTTCAGTTCCGCCGACAACTCGTTTCGATAGACGAAGATTAGGTACACCACAGGTATCGTAATTTGGTTGAATGGGAGGGTCGAGTCCGGTCTGACCTGTCGTCCCGTTGACGGCCAGACAATAGGTCGCGTCTTTGGTATTGTCTTCAATCCATTTGAGATATGATGTGATTCTTGTATAAACTCCGGGATAGTTCTCACGCGCGCAGCCTTTCAACCGCACAAAATTATTATTTAGTTAAAAAAATACCAACAAGAATCTGGTATAACATGTGAAACACATACCGATACCCCACGAGACAATGCCCATGATATCAGTCCTGCCGTTAACGCGCGACGTGAGCGGTCCGCCGGAGTCTCCCTGACACGTGTCCTGTCCTTTGACACCACCGGCGCATAACTGGTCAGTTGTGATGAGACCACTGTATTTGTCCTCACATTTGGCGAAAGAATATTCCGGTAGAGATATCTCGTTCAACACAGCGCTGGTTCTGCCGCCCTCTTCAGTGCGTCCCCAACCGGCGACTTTCAGATTGTCGGGTTCGGTCAGATCGCTGGGCGGTAGGCATACGGGCGCGATATAGTCAGTGTATTTGATGGGTTGGGCGAGTCGGAGGAGTGCGATGTCGTCCTTCTGGGACACGGAGTTGTATTTGTCGTTTACCGTAATTTTGGTGATCTTTAATATGGGTGTCGACTCCTGAAGGCTGTGCTGACCGATTCGGACGCCAATACTTTCGGGCACCTCGTCGTACACACAGTGGGCGGCAGTCAATACATAACTGAATTGCAATTAAGATTTTAAAATAATAATGATTTGTCAACTATTATATGATAACTACTAACTAATTATTGATAAGAGCGCCGCCACAGAAAGGAGATCCACGAATCGATCCAACGGAGACCATCCATGGATATCGATGCGCCGGATCTACTTCTTTGCCGCCAACTATTCGCTTAACGATTCGTAGATTTTCTTTGCCGCAAGCTTTACATACAATCAATATTTTTAAATATGTTATTTTGCATAAAATTCAGTGCATATAAAAGTTTATATAAGTTATAACACATACGACAGCCTTCGGGTGTGAGTTCGGGTAGTCTCGCGGGCGCGGCCTCTGGTCTGTCGTGTTCAACAAACTTAGCCCGAAATCCTTTGCCAGTGTTTACAGAATTTGAGTTGAATTTAATAAGCATTCTGTTTGAGTCCGATATTATAACGTCTGGCTTTTGAGTACCGCAAAACCTGTTATGAAATATTACGGTAATTAATATTTGGCTTAACTAATGACACACCAGTGCCTAAAATTAATTAATATAACACATAGATATGATATACACATGTATTCATTAATCCTGAACCACAGGATTTTCAAACACATTGTCTTTTACGTAAAATGTAACTTATTTTTGAAAAATCTATTTTATAATTAAAAATATTCAATTTATTAAAAATTCCAACACATGCTAAGTGTTGTGCAAATGAAATGCAAAACAATAGTATTGAATAATATGATAAAACAATACACCTATCAAATGTTTTTAATAACTTTATGTTTTAAATAATATTTTAAGATTTTAAATTTATGGTTTGGTTTTAAAGCACCATTTGTTATATTGAATAGAAAAAGAAAAGTTATACTAACAAGACTGTTTTTGATATTAATTACAATTTATAAAAATATATTTGTTGAATATAAAAATTTCAATATGTAATTCTGATATTTTTGCTCACTTTTGTTAACTAAACAACACTTAATCTATGGCAGAATTTTTGTAAATAAATTTTGTGACAAAAATAAATAGTAAAAACTGTTCAAACCTTTGAACATCAGTATCAAAGTCCCCGCTTTGGCTGACCAGCAGATAATCTTCGGCACAAATATCATTGGTAGCATTGATGGCAAACGTGTCGTCAAAATCCAATTTAACGTATTTGCCTTTCGGGATCTCAATATCCCAAACACAAGTGTCTTCATTGCCATAATTCTTGGGATAATTTGGTGTTTGTATAATACCTTTGCTTTGATTCACGAATTTTTGCGAACATTTAGACGAAATAATTTCGGTCCGTATTTTGTAGCCCCTGTCCTGACCTAAAGAATTGCCCCTAAACTCAATTCTGGCCGAACCCGAGTCGGAAACCATTGTTTTTCCGGCGTGTAGTCCACAAAAACTATGTAAAATATTACATAAAAATACATTTAGAGACACTAAAAAATGAAATTTCACATAAATGTCAGGCAAATAATGATTTCATTACGTTCTCAGCTCTCCCTTAGGAAATATTATTTGTAAATTAGTGTCTTTGCAGTGGTCTGACGGGTCGATCGCAACGTATTCTAACGTAAGTCTCAGTCGACTCGATAACTGTTGGATTCTTTCGCTTAGATTTACCTAAAATTAATGTTTATATAAATATAATAATTACACAAACAGTATTATAAATTGTTTATATTTACCTTAATTTCATAATTAACTTTATAGTCTTTGGGATAGGGCTTAGTGGGAAATCCAGGACTTTCAATGATTTGTCCATTACCAAGATCGTTTAGTAAGACATTAATCGTTTCGATGCTTGAATTCTTTACATTCTGTGCATTTATTAGTGAAAAACATATAAGAATTAGTGTTAAAAACACTAAAAATATGTTGTCTATGGATCCCATTCTATGACTGCATTTAATTGTTTAACACTTTACTACACAATATTTGTAACAAACAATGATTTTTTATAGTTAAGGCAAATATGTTTTGTGACAATTTTAAAATCTAATATTATTAATTACAAATAGATCCTGATTGTTTTACAATGATTAATTGAACAATCTTGGTACTACTGTCCTAATGAACTTAACTATACAATAGTATTTAATTAAAATATTAACATGTATATTTTATTGTAATTAATAAAAATTTGATATAATTGTATTACCGTTATGTATTTATTTATTTTTTATATAAACTAGATTAGTTTTTATTTATTTATTATTTGTTCTCGGTCGATATATCAATGTGTATGTATAAAAACTTATAAGATTTATATTAATAATTCGTTTTGTATGACAACTAATGTTCAATATTTCTTGGATGTACTGTAGAATGGGTGCGATTTAGTACATATAATACTATCATATTATTGATTTATATTTTCATCCCTTACAACAGATTTCTATTGAATTACTTTAAATTTATACTAAAATTTATTGCAAATTGAAATTACTTTTGTAATGATTACTGTTATTCTCTATGGGACCTAATATTGGGTAATATATTAACCCATTTTGAGTTTATGGGTTTAAATTCAGTTATGGGAATGTACAGTATAATAAACATTAAATCACTGATTAAAGTCGTTATATTAAATTAATTTGCGTTTAAAAATAGGAAAATACTTATTAATTGGTTGAGTGACCGAAACAGACATTACATTAAAATATAGACTTAAATACAATAAATCCGAGTAAATGGATATTCCTTACGGAAGGCATATCCGATCCAATTATGTTGAGATCATTACTATTTCGCAAATCCAATAAAGTATTATTATTTAGTTTCATATTAAATGACAACTTATTTACCAAATCAGATATTGACTCAAACTTTTTTCTTGATTCAATTCTTACCAAATTTCATGTGATTGCGAAATATTTATAAAAGATATTATTTAATGTTATTTCAAATATATTAAAATTAATATAATTCTTGTTTACAGAATCTAAACATATTTCACATTAAATCCATTCTCAATAATAAAGATTATGTTTTGTGACATGAAATAACTTGTTTATGTCGTTCAAAATGTATAGTAATAAATGGATGTTATACAAACAATTGTTTTAAAACATATTTGAAAAAACATCCTGATAATTTATAATTCACTAAAATTGTGAACTGAACTTTACTGAAGTTACTGAAAATATATATTGAATATTTGTATTTGCAATTTCCTGCGTTAATATTTATTTTAAATTCTGTCATTTACCAACGATTTATATGAGATTAATCTCTGTAATTTATCATTTGTTAATTTACAACAGTAATTAATTTAACATCACATATATAAATAATATGATATACTGTATGTAAATTTAATTTAACACTTTTGTTTATAAGACTGTTGTCATAACTCATGGCATTCATATGTGTCAACATTATTACAAATGAAAAGAATTTTGATTTTTATGATTTAGTTCATACAATCCATTCTTTACTGTATTAGAATTGGTAACCAAACACTTTTAATATTATTATATCGTTTCACAAAATGTAAATTTTAAATATCTTTAATCAATAAGCATAAAGTTTTTCTGTGAAAAATATAAAGTACTGAATAGTAGACATTAGAGTCGATAGTCCGGTGAATAATATTTATTTGATAAGCCGTTGCTATTTATATCAATTTCTCTCTCCTCTCAAATGTCTCGCTATATAAACAAAAATAAGTATAAAAGACATAAACTTTTATGTCATGTCTTATAGAAGATTGGATGAGAAACTAGAAGTCAAGTTAAGGCTTACAGTGAAAGTGTGGCACAAAATATTGCATGTATTGAATAATATTTCATATCATAAATATTATTTTCCTTCAAAAAAGGTCTCAACTCTTTATTAGATTAAAACAGATTTAGAGACACTTTTCATTGAGGATTGACTTCACAAATAAATATTACATATATTTAGGGCATTCATTCATAAGCAGTCAATACACTCATGTATAGTGAATGGGTTTTCTAAGTTTTTGGGATTCAATAATTGTTATAAATAGTGATTTTTGTGCTCTTTTTTATATGTCAAACATTGAATGTTATAAAAATGTCTTTATTTTATTAATTGTAAATCTTTTGTTGCATTTTTTGTTGGTCTAGAATTTAATGCATTAATAATAGAAATTATGACATTATATATGTGTTTGGTTTTGTGAAATGTAATGATAAATAAATGATGCGATGTTTAGACCCGTTATATAACAGTGTCTTCGCATTCACTCTGCCGTCAGATTCTTAATGAAAGCAATCGTTCAAAAGCTCGTTATCCATGAGATCCACAAATCAAGCCATTATTTTTCCGTTGGATTTACAACTCAGTCACTCAATAGTCGGTGACCTTATTTTGCAACAACAAGAATAACTTAATGAAAGCAATCGTTCAAAAGCTCGTTATCCATGAGATCCACAAATCAAGCCATTATTTTTCCGTTGGATTTACAACTCAGTCACTCAATAGTCGGTGACCTTATTTTGCAACAACAAGAATATACACAATCAGACGTTTAATTTGTTGATTGGATCGTAAAAATCAATTGAAAATAAACGCAAAGAATATATTCACATAATTATTGGCTTTGAATCGCTTTCTCTCTTTCTCTGAATCTCTTTTTTTATCCGAGAAATCAAAAGATATAACGGATTAGAAATAATTGAGAAGAATAGTCAGTAAGTGATGGCAAAAGCAAAACAATCTGTAATTCTTAGCCATAAAATGCCTGTTTCTATAGACCAGACGCTTATTATGTCTTTTGAATCAATTTGTTGTTAATTCACCTTAAATGCAGAGTTTGGTGTAAAACATTTTTTGCAATATTTTATTTAATTAATTACACCATAAGAATAATTCTATTTATTGAATATGCATTTATAACTAATATTTATGTTATGCTTAAGCTTATTGTAACCAATATTAAACCTTTATCTCAAATTGTTTATTTAAACATAATATAATTATTTATAAAACAAAAATATATATGAAATTAGAGATAAAGAATTTACATCATTCAATTAATATATACATGTATTATCCAGATAATATCCAGAAAAATTAAATAATTCTATTTATATTTGAATATTTATTATTATTGAGTATATTTATATTTGAAAGTCAATAATAAGATGATTAAATTAAATGCATTATTAATGTTAGGTAATATTTATAGTAAAAATCTTCCTTTCTATAAATATATCAAAATTAATTTTTGTATTTAATGCTAATAACTAAATATTTAACTTTATTGTATTGTTGTAAACACAGTCATTATACTTCATTAAATTAAATGTTTTATGATATATCAAAGATATCTTACCTCTTTTATATATAAAGTCGATCCACTTATGGTTTCTATGGCTGTAATGGTTTTTAATATCAAAGTTGTTGTATTCAATACAAAATTACCTGTTAGGTACAGTAATTATTAATTAGTTGAGTTTTATCGATCTTATTTATGCATTAAGTCAGTCGTCTTATAATTAAAATAATAATTTTGATTAAAATAAATATTTTATATATTATCACGAATATAAAGTTTATTTATTAAGTTTCAATCATTTATTTATTAGTATTCAATGAAAACAAATTAATAAACATTTCAATATTTCAAATATAATACTGTATTATTAATACATGTATATTTCGGTTTTTATAATATATTTATAAACGAAATATAAAGTTAATATATTGTACTTTAGTTTGAGAATCCACTAATTCAAACAATTTATTTAATTAATTATATAGTAATTTACAAAATTTAATTGTAATTATATTATAATTAACATTAATATTAATATCAAATAACAAAATAAAAGTTTATTCATGAAAAATATAAAATAAATCTCTTATTGTTTTTGTAATTTGTAATTACAATTTAAATCCATATATAAATATGAGTCTAATATAAACTTTAAGTTTGTAATGTAAAGTATGTAATGTAAGATTTCATATGAATACTGAAAAACATTATAATATAATATTATTTGAATAAGCGTTTGATTTGAATGAATTCACACCAACGAGAATCCAACGGACGGACAACAGAGTTGTATATTTACTGTACATTACGTTTAATAATCCGATTAATAAAAAATATTTGACACGTTTTATAGAGTTATGTTTTACAAATAAAAATCCATACAAACTCATCATTTATTATTTATAATATCATTTAATTAATATTTAGTATATTATATAAAACTAGTCTTAAAGTTATTATTATTCTTCGGAGGGCTGTTATTATGATTATAGTTATTATGATTGCGAGCCTTAAAACTCCTGTTCAATGAGACGGTGTGAGGATTACTTGACTTTTTTCGGTAGACCAGAGTTGACAGCGTATATAACGTGGGATTAATGGCAGCGTTGAGGGGCAATACAAACACAGCCACCCACGCGAAGGCCTGGCCACAAATAAATGCACTCAAATTACAATCATGGTATTAATAAAATAAAATGACAGAGAATTAATGTAAAACTATGTAAATATGCTGACCTGTGGTGGTATTTTGACGCCATAGAAAGAGATGATGCCTAATAGGATGATAGGCATCCAACACCAGAAGTCGGTCATCACGATAAACATCATACGTCTGGCCATTCGGTTATGGATTTTGTGTTCAGGAGTTCTGACGGCGATTGACGTGTTTTTGGCCACAAAGA